ATTAGGATACATATTCGATGAAATATTTGATTGAATCGTTTATCCCCGATAGGATGTAAATGGATTGTTTTCCGGTATGTAATGTCCATCAGCTGTTTTCTAGAAACGAATTGACCTTACGTGTCGTCTCTCTCTCTGTACTTTCGTATCTATCTATCTTCTTTTTTCTTTTATGTTTGCCGTTACGGTATAGGTACGCGTACCTTCTAGCTTACGGTTCCTTTCTCCCTGTGTCGTTGACACTACTCCGACCGATACCGTTCGTTTCTCGATTTCTTTTCCGGAGAATCTTTTTATACGTAACTATTCTTCTTTATGCACATGCTTACCTATAGTTAATCCATGATAAAAACTCTCTCTCTCTCCCTCTCTCTCTCTCTCTTAATTTTTAAAGCAACTAGAGCAATATATATGTGTGTGTGTGTAAATTTTGTTTTAGTTTCAGTTTTGTTTTAAAAAATTTTAATGTATTAAGATAGTATATATATATATATATATAGTTGTTTGTTTGAATTTTTGGAATTTATGAATTTTTGTAAAAAGGAAAAGTATATCGGTAGCCCTTCAAACCCGAAAAAGACAGAATATACATAAATAAAAATAAAAATATATTTGTGTGTGTATGTATTAGATATGTATTTTTTTTTTTATTATTATTATAATATATATATATATATATAGTTGTTTGTTTGAATTTTTGGAATTTCTGAATTTTTGTAAAAAGGACAAGTGTATCGGAAGCCCTCCAAACCCAAAAGGGATGAAGTATAAATAAATAAAAATAAAAATATATGTGTGTGTGTATGTATTAGATATGTATATTTATTTTTTATTATTATTATAATATATATATATATTTTTATACGTAACTATTCTTCTTTGTGCACATGCTTACCTATAGTTAATCCATGATAAAAACTCTCTCTCTCTCTCTCTCTCTCTCTCTCTCTTAATTTTTAAAGCAACTAGAGCAATATATATGTGTGTGTGTAAATTTTGTTTTAATTTCAGTTTTGTTTTAAAAAATTTTAATGTTTAAAATAGTATATATATATATATAATAGTTGTTTGTTTGAATTTTTGGAATTTATGAATTTTTGTAAAAAAGAAAAATTGTATCGGAAGCCCTCCAAACCCAAAAGGGACGGAGTATAAATAAATAAAAATATATGTGTGTATGTGTATGTATTAGATATGTATATTTTTGTTTTTATTATTATTATTATAATATAGCGAGAGAATGGAAAACGTGTCGATGACAGATGATTTCCGTTGCGTTAACATTAATGGGGGGGCAAAATCCTTGGCGGTGTTAAAATAATTTTTGTTGAAATAAGTTTTATGCCAGTAGAACGTGGGCACGTGGTTGTAACCAATAAGGATTAAATTACGCGAACGAGTATTGCGTGTTACAAGTATGCAACCATATACGTAGGGTACTTAATAATACATTCGTAGTCGTGATTTAACTATTGTCCGTGACATGGGGGTTTTTTTTTTTTGTATTATTTTTCTTTCTTTCTCAAATACTTTTTCTTATTTTATTCTGTGTCAAAAATGAAATTTCATTTATTTTATAATATATTTAATAATAACAGTTGGTTTTATTATTTAATGTAAACGCTTCGAGAATAATATGAATAATTATTTTGTAGTAGTTTATGTGTGTGTGTGTGTGTGTTAGGTGGTTTACATTTTATATTTTATATTAGAAAGCATGATGTCAAAAAGTAATTATCTCGAAAAGGTCTCGGAACGCATTTGACTTAGCGCCAAGAGTTTATAATTATTTTTGCTTTATTCTTGCCTTTCTACTCTCGATAATGAAGCTTCGTAATACCGTCAGTATTGCGGAAATAAACTACATATATAGGTGTTTATGTAAATGTGTTTGTTATTGCATCAATATTTCTTTTATTTATTTTACCGTTATAATGCATATCTTCTTTGCACACAAAATTATTATTATAATATTATATATTATAATTATAAATAAAAATTAAATTATTATTATAATAT